GCGCTCTGCTGCAGGGAACCTCCACATCCCTATGGGGTGGGGGTGGGCTCCTTCCCGGCCCCATGGCACACGGGTGCCCCTGGCCCCCCCCCAGCCCCCTGTGGGGAGACAGAGGCTGCAGCTCTCCTTGGATTTATTGTGCTGAGAAAGGAACGGAGCGACGCCGCTGGGTGGGATCGGGGCAGAAGTCCTTTAAGGCCAATTCCACAAAGCGAATCCCATGGGAGGACAACTAGGGCTGGTCTGTCCGTCCGTCCGTCCCCCCCTCCCCACTTCGGACCCCCAGCCCCTAAAGGGGGTCCCAGCACATGGCCTCCATCCGTCAGCACCTATCTGAGAAAGGAGGAGTTTGGGGTTGGTGGTCGCGGCGCCCTTGGCCTCACCCTATATAGGGCTATAGGGGATCCCATGGAGGGGAACGGCCGGGGGGATCCCCAGAATTCATAGCAGACCAAAGAAGGGCTCCAGGATGGAGTTTAGGGCTGTGAGAGTCCTAGAAAGCAAGAGCTGCCCAAAACCGAGAGACGGTACGAGGGGAGATCGAAAAACAGAGAAATAAAAGTCGTAACAATAAAGAAAAAACCCCAAACAACCCCAAAATGAAGGTACTCAAAGCACACAGAAGCCTTCCTGCGGCGCAGAGCTCGGCTGCAGCTCTCAGTACTTCACGCCCGGCACAAACTCCTTGGCGTCGGGGTTCAAGGTGCTTTTGCTCTGTAAGAGAAGGGGATGGCCAGGGGTTGGTCAGTGGGCCAGCCAATGGTTGGCCAACAGCTGATGAATGGGTTGGCCAATGGTTGGCCAAATCTTGATCGGTGGAGTGGCTTGGCCAATGGTTGGCCACCAGTTGATGAATGAGTTGACCAGTGGTTGATCAGTGGGTTGGCTAATGGTTGCCCAACAGTTGGCCAATGGTTGATGAATGAGTTAGCCAGTGGTTGATGAATGGGTTGGCCACTGGTTGATCAATGGGTCAGCCAATGGTTGGCCACCAGTTGATGAATGGTTTGGCCAATGCTTGGCCAATTCTTCATCAGTGGGTTGGCCAGTGGTTGACCAACAGTTAATGAAGGGTTTGGCCAACTGTTAATGAATGGTTGGCCAACAGTTGGCCGATGGTTGCTCAATGGTTGGCCAGTAGTTGACCAACAGTTGATGAATGGGCTGGCTAACAGTTGACCAGTGGTTGCTCAATGGGTTGGCCAACAGTTGACCAGTGGCTGATCAATGGTTTGGCCAGTGGTTGACCAACAATTGATGAATGAGTTGACCAATGGTTGATCAATGGGTTGGCTAATGGTTGCCCAACAGATGGCCAATGGTTGATGAATGGATGGATTAGCCAGTGGTTGATGAATGGGTTGGCCACTGGTTAATCAATGGATTGGCCAATGGTTTACCAATGGTTGATTGATGAGTTGTCCAACGGTTGGCCAACTGCAGCTCAGTGGGTTGGCCAATGGTTGGCCAGCAGTTAATGAAGAGTTTAGCCAACTGTTAATGAAGGGTTTGGCCAACTGTTAATGAATGGTTGGCCAACAGTTGGCTGATGGTTGCTCAGTGGTTGGCCAGTAGTTGACCAACAGTTGATGAATGGGCTGGCCAACAGTTGACCAGTGGTTGCTCAATGGGTTGGCCAGCAGTTGACCAACTGTTGATCAATGGATCAGCCAATGGTTGGCCAACAGTTAATGAATGGGTTGGCCAATGGTTGCCCAACTCTTCATCAGTGGGTTGGCCAATGGTTGACCAACAGTTGATGAATGATTTGACCAATGGTTGATCAGAGGGTTGGCTAATGGTTGCCCAACAGTTGGCCAATGGTTGATGAATGGGTTGGCCAATGGTTGGCCAACAGTTAATGAATTGGTTGGCCAATGGTTGACCAACAGTTGATGAATGAGTTGACCAATGGTTGATCCATGCATTGGCCAGCAGTTGACCAATGGTTGCTCAATGGCTTGACCAATAGTTGACCAGCTGCTGATCAATGAGCCAGCCAATGGTTGGCCAACAGTTGATGAATGGGCTGGCCAATGGTTGACCAACAGTTTATCAGTGGATTGGCCAATAGTTGACCAGTGGTTGATCAATGAATTGTCCAATGGTTGTCCAAGGGTTGCTCGGTGGGTTGGCCAACAGTTGACCAACTGTTGATGAAGGGGTTGGCCAGTGGTTGACCAGCAGTCAATGAATGGGTTGGCCAACAGTTGGCCAATGGTTGATGAATGGGTTGGCCAGCGGTTGACCACTGGTTGATCAATAGGTTGGCCAACAGTTGCCCAACAGCCAATCCTCCTCCCAGGGCATCTCCACCTCAGGCAAAACCCCAAAGGACACCTTCCACCCCCCTCCCCCCACCCCCAGAGCTGCTGCATGGCAGCCCCCTACCACGACATCCTCGGGGCCGCGGCCGTCAGCGACGCAGAGCCCATTGAGCTGCTGCTGCAGCTGCCCCACGCGCTGGGGAAGGTCTCGTGATGGGATGAACCACTCCTGGTCCTCCTCGTCCAACATCTCCTGGAAGCAGCGGTCGAGGAACTCCTGCTCCTGCAGCTCCTCCTCCACCTGCCCAAAGAGAGGGCTGTAAGGGCCTGTAGGATCCGTAAGGGCCTGTAGGGTCTGTTAGAACCTGTAGGATCCCTAAGGACCTGTAGGGTCTGTGAGGTCCTGTAGGGTCTGTAAGGACGTGTAGGGTCTGTAAGGTCCTGTAGGGTCTGTAAGGACATGTAGGGTCTGTAAGGATGTGTACGGTCTGTTAGGACCTGTGGGATCCATAAGGACCTGTAGGGTCTGTAAGGTCCTGTAGGATCTGTAAGGACCTGTAGGATCTGTTAGGACCTATAGGATCCCTAAGGACCTGTAGGGTCTGTTAGGACGTGTAGGATCCGTAAGGACGTGTAGGATCCGTAAGGACCTGTAGGGTCTGTAAGGACCTGTAGGATCTGTTAGAACCTATAGGATCCCTAAGGACCTGTAGGATCTGCTCGGTGCCTCCCCACCCTTTGTGTCAAACTCTTCCCTTCTATCCCCTAAATTCCCTCTTTAAGCTTGGAACCGTTTCCCCCGTCCTCTCATCCGGCGCTGCTCTGGAGTCTGTCCCCCTCCTCCTCACAGCCCTGTGGATTCTGAAGGCCATCCCAGCTTCCCTGGAGGCTGCACCCCTGCAGCTGCGCAGCCCCAGCCGTAGGAGGAGCCCTGGAGATGTCAGAGGTTTGGAGCACCTCCCTGCAAGGACACGGGGAGGGAACTGGGGCTCTGCAGCCTGCAGGAGAGAAGACTCCGAGAAGACCTGATAGTGACCTTCCAGGACCTGAAGGGGGCCGACAGGAAAGCTGTGGGAGGGATGTTTTATAAGGGCACGTACTTAAGGACAGCATGCAAGGACCTTTCCAACCCAGCCATCCCATGGCTCTATCATCTGTAAGGACCTTTCCAACTCTACCATCCCATGGATCTGTGATCTGTAAGGACCTTTCCAACCCAACCACCCCATGGCGATATGATCAGTTAGGACCTTTCCAGCCCAACCCACATCTCTATGACCTGTTAGGACCTTTCCAACCCAACCATTCCACGTCTCTGTGACCTGTTGGGACTTTTCCAACCCAACCCAACCACCCCATGGTGTTGTGATCTGTTAGGACCTTTTCAACCCAACCCAACCATCCCATGTCTCTTAAGACCTTTCTAACCCAACCATCCCACGACTCCATGACCAGTTAGGACCTTTCCAACCCAACCCAACCCAACCGTCCCACGTCTCTGTGATCTGTAAGGACCTTTCCAATACAACCCAACCCAACCATCCCATGACTCTGTGATCTACTAGGACCCTTCTAACCCAATCACCCCATATCTCTGTGACCTGTTAGGACCTTTCCAACCCAACCCAACCACCCCATGATGATGTGATCAGTTAGGACCTTTCCTGCTCATCCCAACCATCCCATGGCTCTCTGATCTCTTAAATTTTTTTTCAACCCAACCAGCCCATGGCTCTGCGATCTGTAAGGACCTGTAGGGTCTGTTAGGACATGTAGGGTCCACAAGGACCTGTAGGATCTGTAAGGACCTGTAGAATCCGTAAGGATCTGTAGGATCCATTAGGATCTGTAGGGTCCGTAAGGATCTGTAGGGTCTGTGAGAACCTGTAGGGTCCGTAAGGTCCTGTAGGATCTGTAAGGATCTGTAGGATCTGTTAGGACCTGTAGGGTTCCTAAGGACCTGTAGGATCCCTAAGGATCTGTAGGATCCATATGGACCTGTAGGGTCTGTAAGGTCCTGTAGGGTCTGTAAGGATCTGTAGGGTCTGTTAGGACCTGTAGGGTCTGTAAGGTCCTGTAGGATCCCTAAGGACCTGTAGGGTCAGTTCTGCTCACCTGCCTGTCGAAGTCCTCCTCGTTCTCCATCCACATGTACTCAGCGAAGGGGTCGCTCTCCTTTTTCTCTCGGCCGTCCCCCCCCTTCCCCTCGCTGCCCTGGCCGCTGCCGGCCGCGTCGGGGCCGTTCATGGCTGTGGGTGGGCTGGGCTCAGGGGGGGGCGATGGGGGGCCGGCACCCCCCCTCCTCACCCCCACAGAGCTTCTGGCCACGAACAGCTGGGGGCGAGCAGAGGGGTGAGGGGTGGGCT